CCATAGCCAATGGGATTCCTGCATTAGTCGATAAGGAATCCGGAAAGAACAAATGATGAGGCATGACATTTTATCATTTTCGTTCGGTGCCTGAAACGCTTCTCCGACCGGTGTGTCTACCGCGTACAAAATAAAAAACAAAAAGCAAAAAGAAAACAAGTGGTTTCTCCGCTTTTGCCAGCTGACGTCACGAAAACGCCATGCTGTCGCCGGCCGCGATCCTGGCGGTGTAACAGCGGCAGAGGTGGATGTGGCGGAGGCCTGTTCCGCTTCGGGTTGCTCTCCCGCTCGACAGAGCGTGGAAGCTCCTGCGGCCGGAAGTTGGGACGCCGCGATGACAGCGACGCTGGCTCTCTTTCGCGCTTTTCTTTCCAGAACTTCTACTCCCAACCGCCAACATCGTGACGTCGCACGACACTCCCGTTTTTTTATCATTATTTTCTTGTTTTTTGTTCTTTGGTTTTTTAGGTCATTTGTTCCCATTTTGGTATTACTTTCTATGCATGGGTGTGAAGTAGGACGCTGAAACACCAGTCGGAGGTGCGTCTCGGGCACAATAATGGGCCACGCCTGCGTTTCGTAAGCTTTAAATTGACAACTTAAAAAATGGAGGGTGGGGCGAGTCCAGGACGTCTTATTATGACTTCACAGTCAATGAGGTTGCGGTATTTGTCGCGAAGAATGACAAAGAGCGAATGGCGAAACAAGGAGCGTGAAGAAAAAAACGCATGGTCTTAGGTTGTCCCTAATACCCTTGTTACACGGGCGCCCTTAACTGCAGTTACGGCAAACTGTAGTTAAGAGCTCTAACTGCAGTTACCGGGAACCGCAGTATGCCGGTGTTACACGAACATTCTCTTCTCAGTTAGTGTAAGTGGTGTAGGGAAGATGATCACGTGATTGTTTCCCCAGCGAAAATATCCTCATAATTTATACGTCTAAACATAAAAAAAAACCGTTAGTTCCGTAACTTGCTTTATGTTACAATAATCTTGTGGTTATTTAGGACAGTTTGGTATCAAACATGTTCGTTCAGCTCTGGGTAAAATTCGAAGTCAGTCTGTCAACACTGGCAGTACTCGACTGCTTTCAACTGCGTAGCCGACAAGACAGCCGAAACAATCCACCGCTTTCTGTGTCGTCTGAGGCCGTCTACTTTGTTTGAGTCTGTGACCGTGCCCGCGTTTGTCTCGCTGTTCCGTCTTTTTGTCGGACTCGTGTTTCTATGTGCTTTGCTGTCTGCTCTATCATCAGCGAGTTGTGCACTGTGAAGGTTCGAGTCTGCACATCGCAACGTCAAATGGCTCTGAGCACTTTAAGCAATCCTGTGCTGGAGGATGAGGACGAGCGCAACTTTTGGGTCATGTTCGCCACTCATCAAGCAGTGCTTCAACGGCGACGTATGCAGGAGCAGAGCGTACTCGCCGAGATCGACGAACTGGAGGCAGAGCAGAAACGCTCTCAGAGACGACGCAACCGGCTCGTACTAGCGGCTGCGCGACTATGCTCCCGCGAGCGGCACGTCTGGGCATATCCCCGTGCGAAGTCTTGGTACGAGACTACGCTTCCATACTTTCCGGAGAGTACATTTCGACAAAACTTTCGAGTAGATCGCAGCACCTTCCGATACATCGTAAGCGTATGCGAGTGCATGAGGCGGAACGACACCAACATGCGTCAGGCCATCCCTCTGGAGAAGCGTGTCGCAATTGGCTTGTATCGCCTCGCCACCTCTGCGGAAGACAGGACCGTCGCGAATCTTTTCGGCGTCAGCCGGTCGTCTGTAAACATCATTTTCCGAGAGTTTTGCGCAGTTCTTTTGAAGCGTATTGAACCACGGTTTGTGAAGTTCCCTCAAGCCCATGACCTGGCTGAACACATGCTCCAGTTTGCAGCAATTGCAGGCTTCCCTCAAGGCGTGGGCGCCTTGGACGGCTGCCACCTCGAGGTGTGCCCGCCGAAAGAGTATGCCTCAGATTACCATAATTACAAGGGGTGGTATAGCACCATTCTTTTGGCTGTAGCAGACCACGCATACAGGTTCCTGTATACAAACGTTGGGTCACCTGGAAGGAACCACGACGCAGCAGTATTCCGGCGCTCACGGCTTCCGGGCGTCCTGGCTGGCGACTTGTTTCGCTCGGAAGCAAAAACCTTCGAAGGAGTTTCTGTTGGCCCTGTCCTGCTCGCGGATCAAGCTTTTCCCCTGCAGTGCCACATCATGAAGCCCTTTCCGCAGTCTAATGCTGCTGGATCCCCCACACAGGCTTTTAATTATCGTCTCTCCAGCGCTAGGAGAGTAGTGGAAAATGCATTCGGTCGGCTCAAAGCGCGTTTTCGAATTCTTCACAAGGGACTCGAGTCTGACATCGACAGTGTAAACAACATTGTTCGTGCATGTTGTGTGCTCCACAACATTTGTGAGCAGCTGAACGATGGTTGCGATAAGAGCTGGCTTGACACGGTGCGGAGCGACGACAAGAGCCGGCCTCAGCCAGTCCGCTTCAGCAGCCGGGAGGAGCCATCAGGAGTGGCAGTTAGGGACGCCCTCGCAAAATACTTCGCCGCAAACTGAACAGTTTAAAGGGATGGTGAAGCGAAATCTGGCTTCCTCAAAACACGGCTGCAAAGGCGTGCAACGGGATGCTACAACCACCAAAATATCACTCGTACTGCGATATCTCGAACGGATGACCGTATTTTTAAAAAAAAGGAGGTGCATTTGACAGATTTACGTCTTGTTTTTCCGAGAAGGAGAGGGAACGGTCTCGCGTCTTCTCCGCCTCGCCGCCTTGAGGGGGCGAAGCGAAGAGAGGAAGAAACGAGATATCTTGACGTCGCGCGCCTCGTCGGCCTCGTTCAATCTGACTGTTTTTTCCAAAAATATGGCCGTCCATTCCAGATATCGCCTTATCAGTAGTGTTGTAGGGATTGTAGCATCCCGCCTACATCTTCTGCGTTGTTTTTTTTAAATCCAAATTTCGGTTCACCATCCCTTTAATGCGGCTGCCGCCATTTCTCTGCCTGTTCGATCCTGCTGTGTTGTGCACTTTTGGATAAGGAAAAGCCTAGTCCCAGCTTACAACAGCCCGTACAAGGTGGTCAACCGCCAAGAAAAGTATTCAACCACCGACATATATGGACGAAGTGATGTGTTGACAATGGAGCATCTAAAACCACCGCACCTCATTGCTGGCTATGCCTCGTCTCTATTTACAATTCCAAAATAGAGAGAGTAAACGTTTTATGGCATCACTAAGTCTGGTGCCCGTGGTTACCACTCCTCGCCCAGCACTTTTTTCACGTGCTAGACTATAGTCCCTTGCAACTCAAGGAGGTAGGGCAAGGGTAATGTGAGCCAGGGAGGGGGAAGCAGACGGAACGCTGGAGGAGAGAGGGGGAAACCTCTTTCTCTCTTTAGCGTTCCGTCTGCTTCCTCCTCCCCAGCCAGTCTTACCCTCGCCCTACCTTCTTGAGTTGCAACGGACTATAGGAGTGGTCAAAGATGCGGTTCATTGCCAGGAACGGGGGGGGGGGTGACGACCCATTCTTCCCAACTGGTGGGGTGTCGAGTCTGGTTTTGGTGATGGGAGCAACTTTTGGGCATTCCCACAGTCAATGTTTGTTATTAGGGTAGATGCCTCAGTGTGTGTGTGGTGCACCGCTAATATAGTGTTTGTGATGTTTTGTGAATAGTCTGTTGGTTTGTGCAAGTCTGATAATTGTGGCATCCTCTCTAAATGCGCGTGACGGGCTTTTAAGGAGCGACATTGTCTCTAAGTTCTTTTACTATGCATGTTCTGGATTCGTGTAGTGTCCTTCTGTGGTCGTTTGGGTCATAGGTTGTCGGCCAGGGAGTTGAAGGGCCCGGTAGGCTGCTTCCTCGGGCGAGCTCGTCAGTTTTCATGTTCCCTTCAACTCCTAGGCTCCCAGACACCCGTTCGATAGTGACTTTTGCATAGGGGCGTTCTCTCTAGGCTTTTGATAATGCAGTCATGATGTGCAGGGTTAGAGTATTGTTTTTGAAATCTCCAACGGCTCCTTGGCTATTTGTTCAGATGGTGATAGGATCTTTCCTAGCGTGTGAGGTAATAGCTTCGGCTATTGTTACTGCTACCTGTTCTTGTCTGTTTGTTGTAATGGTGCAATTCTAATTGTATAGTGGGTATGTAATTGGCCACATATGTGGTAACAACGGTGGGTGTTTGTTCTGTTAGAGTAAGGGGGTTGCCACGAGGAGGTCAGCGTTTCCGTGTGATACTGGGTTATGTGAATTTCTGGTGTCCCGGTAGTGTGAAGTTGCCATTTGTTTCCTGAGGGAGTATGATGTCAGGTTTTGTAGTGGCTTGTTCGATGTGTTGGACGAGGTGGCTCTTTTTTTCGCTGGAAGCCTCGGCAGTTCCATTGCCACATGGTGGACTTGTGTATGTTAGGTTTGTATCCCATGCAAGCGAAATGATGTAAAGCATCCCATAATTAGCCCACTGCACCAACTGTGAGCTTTAACAAGTGGTGCACGAGAGCAGGAGCAAGCTCGAGCAATAAAAATTCCAGTCTTTGTTGTTCTTCAAAAGGTGTGGCTCGTTTTCCAATTTTTTTTTTACATAGCCATTACTGTTTATGACTACAATGCAATCGAATGCAAAGGTGCAAGCGAGCTGGACAAGAATGACGAAAAAAATCCCTGGAGAAGAGGAACAAGAGGGACAAAGTACAAACACAAATCTCCAAAAACAGCTAGGCGACTGGTGATCGACCAAAATAATCCGCCTGGTCCGGGTATCGAACCCGGAACCTCTCCATTTCCAGTGGAGTGCTCTACCCCTAACCCCTGGTTAGCTGAGTTGGTAGAGCGCTCCACCTGTAACGGAGAGGTCCCAGGTTCGATACCCGGACCAGGCGGATTTTTTCGGTCACACACCAGTCACCTAGCTGTGTTTGGAGATTAGTGTTTGTCCTTTGTCCCTCTTGTTCTCCTTCTCCAGGGATTATTTTCGTCATTACTCTTTATTCTTTTTGGATGCGAAGTAAGATTCCATCATGCGGAGCATGCTCGCTTGCATATCATTTGACTCCTTTTGCAGTTGAAGCAATTCTTTCTGCCTTTTCAGTCTTTTTTTTTCCATTTTTGCGGCCCGTTCCGTCTCCTCTTGGTGCATTGTCAAAAGCTGCTGCATAAGTGAAGCCGCTGGCCGCTTGCGGCTTTTGCTTTGCCCGATGCTACTGGTACTGCTGCCGCCACTGCTGCCACTCGCGGTCGGGGGGCTGCTGCTACAGCTCGCAGTATCTGTCAGGCTCACGCTTTGCGAGCCTGGGTTGTGAGGCAACACGACTTCACTGCCACTGCCCTGTGTGGCGCTGTCCTCATACGGCGTGTCATCGTCGCCTTGGTCCCAGGAGGCGAGCACCTCGGCAGCGTCTTCCGCCTCGTCAACTAGTGGCACCTGTGTATAAGAAAATATCAAAGACAACATGTCTGTATCAGGTATGGTGTACTAGAACTGGGAGGTGTGCCAAGCGCCGCTCACTCCCGGGTGCCACCATTGGACACTGCTGCACTGTGGCGCTGCTACTGATCAATCCGTGACATCACACATTCCAGCATAGCTTGGCCCCCAACTACCAGGTGGTATTGGGAAATCATTTTAAAATTGCTTTTCTTGCATTTACAAAAGACTGGAGTTAATAAGCTGCTGTCATAAGAGAGACCATGTCTACTCAAAGAAATAGGTGCTAAACTTTTTGCTTCCGTACCTTTTTAAAGGCATGCTGAACCGAAATCTGGATTCCACAAAACACGGCGGCAGAAGCGTGCAATGGGACGCTACGAACACCAAAACATCACTGGCACAACGATATCTCAAACGCATGACCGTATTTTTCTAAAAAAAGAGGGGAATTTGTGATATGTTGACATCTTGTTTCTCCGAGAAAAGTCAAGAAGGAGAGGACACAGCCTCGCGTCTTCTCCACCTTGCCGCCTTGAGGTGGCGAAGCGAAGAGAGGACAAAATAAGATAAGTTGACATCACACGCCTCGTCGGCCTCGTTCAATCGCGACCTCTTTTTACAAAAATATGGCTGTCCATTTGAGATATCGCGTTATGGGTGGTGGCGTACGGATTCTGGCGTCTTGCCTGCGCCTCTTGCATTGTTTTCTAAAACCCAAATTTCGGTTCGCCATCCCAATAAGCAGCCTCATAAAGATGGACAAGGCTCATTACACTGCAAAGTTTGTGTTAATGGAGTGACGTGCAGCTGTGTAAATGCTGGAAAATGAAGGCTAAAGGCTGGTTCAGAAATTTATACGACTGACTGTTTTACGACCACCTACAACGGAGTGCTAATATCGGGTGCTATGGCAAGCCAAGGGCTGCACAATCTATTGCAATCAGGGAATTGCAGTATCTTTCGACACTGTGATCCCCTGACTCACAGAAACGAGTCAGTCAAACAACCAACGAAGGGGACACACTAAGCTAAGCATAATTGTGGCTGATGGTTGTGTACATATCATCTTGGTAGAATACTGTTATTAATCGGACAGAAGCCTGTTCATGACTTTTACTTGTGTCAGAATTGCTGTGCTAATTACGCTTAGCTCGGCCAGTCCCTTTCTTTGGATGTTTGGCTGACTCGTTTCCATGAGTCGGGGACTCTCAGTACCGAAAGAGGCACCTACAAATGCCTGTGAAGCAAACATCGGCAAGTGCCGTGGCAAAAATTGCTGCTTTGCGCCGATAAAAAGAAAAAAAGACGAGACTTGCTGAAACCTGCAAGAGCAATTCCGCTGCACAGGGTAGGCAGGATAGGCACGGTGTTTCAGAGTGTCCCTGCTATGTCGCACAGGGGGTACGGAACGGCCACACCTTCCGTGTTACACCGAAGGGTGTTCGTAATAGTACCTGCAGTTCACGTCGAGCCAATTTACCTCACATACCTCGACATTCTCCTCTGCCAGGAACTCGTTATTAATGGGCAGGGACCCCAGGAAGTTGTGGAGTGGCCAGTAGAAGGCCCACTCAACACCTTTCGATCCTGTTCCGGTGCAGGTTTGCCTCAGCTTCCTGGAACGAACCAAATTTTTTCAATCATCATTTAAGAAAATAGATACTGGAACTGGAGATATGAGAAGTTATTTTCAGTGCACGAAACTTCACTGCAAACAACGTCAGCAATATTGCTGCGGCATGAATTCGTGCTCCAGCGGTGATAGGGCTGGATATCTGTAGCAAAACTCTTCAAAATATAGTTGTAAACAACCCTACTCCATGTAGCTTTGGGGAGATGGGGCTTTCATTTAATCGCGCCGAAATTACCAATAAATCATTTTATCCAGTTACTGCAGTACTAATAGTAGGGATGACTGGATATATTAACGGGAAGCAATAAACTCGGCAAGTTAACCATTCGGTGGTTGCCGCAGGCACGGAGCCGGCGCCAGTCCGTCAAGCCTAATTTCCAATTTAATCGCTCCAATAACAGCAGCCTACAAAAACGTTATTGCTACTGCAGCTGGGTGAAATCCGCACTCACCGGTATTGTTTGTTGAGGTTTTCAAGCTTTTGGCGGACTTGTTTCCCCGTGTACGGCTCTTCGCCACTTCGAAGCCCGGCGTTGAGCTGCGCTGCCATTGCGGCGTAGATAGCCGCATTCCGTGTGTTGGACCGCAGCGCGGGCAGGTTCTCCTCCCAGATCCTTATTAGGGCCTCGGTTGTCGCGACAGGCCAATTTATCCGCTTTTTGGCGACACGGCTTGCTCCTTCGGGCGCTGCCATCTTGTCAGTTACGCGTCCAAACTGAGGTTGCCAAGCTCAGTTTAGGCTAACTATGGTTAGCGGGCAACCACAGTTAGCTCTGCCGTCTAACTGCGCGTAACTGCGGTTAAGCTAACCGCGGTTATGCTTAACTGCAGTTAAAACGGCCCGTGTAACTAGGGTATAAGACGACTTGAAGGCGAAAGCCCAAGCGCCGATGCATTAAAGACAGACACATGATATACGGGTGAGGCGGTACCGCGTCGGACTACTGAACACGAGGCCGCTGGTTCGACGCCAGCCAAGGGACCAGAGCGAAAAGAATTTTCGGAGGAATTTAGTGCGTCCGCCGATCCTGGAACAAGTAACGCCATCTCGTGGTCCAGTGGCGAACAATGGCTTTTAATACGTTAAAGCATAATCCCGGTCTTAAAAAGTCTGGATGAAGCGCGTGGCGCGAGCTATCTGTCCCCAAAGTTTTCCCTACTAACTAGCTTGAAGCCAGCCGATACCGCAACCAAAACATCCGAAATCCGGTGGAAGGACAAGCCGCCTTTACACCGGAACGCACGGGCATGTGTCAATGATAATATTTGCGTCACTATTTTAAGTTACAGCATGCCGGAGCTGATTACAGTCGGCGTTCCACGGCTAGGCGGAAAAAGTGTTAAGCCACATTAGCGGCCATGTCAGATTGCTTTTCTTTGCGGTGCGGTATCAATGACGATGGATTTAATTATTGGTGCGAGTCAACGAGTAAGTAAAATCAAATAAACCTTAACCTAAGCTCCTTCAGAAAATGTGAAAGTTTGATCGGTGTTTGCAGCACGCAAACAATCAGGGCATATTTGACAGGGACGCTTTGCTCGTAGGATGACCAAACACAGCCGCTATAGACCCTTCGGCTGCAGCCAGTGTGGTAAAGCTTTACGCTTTAAAAAAATTATGTTCCTCTCACATACAAACCGACCCCCAGGATAAAACATAAATAGTTAAAGAATGGTTTATTCACCATAAAGCTTTAATATTTGACAGCTATGAAAATACATAATTACAAAGCAATATGTCTGAAAGGCAAGCTCAGAGTACCCTCCTTCCGCCGCAATGCAAGCCATACAACGCTTGTGCATTGAACGGACGGTTCGGTGTACTACATCTGGACTGAAGCTTGTACATGCAGCAACGAGTCTTGGCGTCAGGTCCGTGATGTCGCGAGGTTCCGTTACGTAGAATAAGGCTTTATATGACCCCAAAGTGTCAAATCGGAAGATCGTGGGAGCCAAAGCATAGGTCCTGCGCGCCCAATCTACCTATATGGGAAGTTCTGGTCAAGCCACCTACTAGCGTAAGACGAAAAATGGGGTAGTGCTCCGTCGTGCTGGAACCAAGTTTGGCGCAAGTCTTGCACCGGCAAGTTGCAGGAAAATTCGTTGACGACTCCAGTCAGGGCACCCTCTGTGTAATTCCTACCGGTGAGGTTGCCTTCAATAAAGTAAGCTCCCATAATCCCGTTGCCGAGGATGCCGCAACAGACGTTGACGCACCAACGAACCTGATGGCTATGCTGTTACAGCCAGTGCGGGTTCTGGTCTCACCTGTAGTGTGCGTTGTGGAGATTCACATGTTCGCCACGCCAGAATTTTGCCTTATTGGTCCAAATCTCTTTGTGAAAGAGATCCCGGTCTTCGCCTTGCTTAATGAGGGCCGATCTGTAAACTTTCCAGCCACTTCTCAAAGTCTGCTTCGGTTGGGTCTTGGTGAAGACACGTGGTAAGAAAAGACGGGATGACCCGCTTCACCTTCCACTCTGAGGTCACGCTGCTTTCGCTTTCCCGCGCCGGCGCCTGAGGGCTGACGACACATATGCCAGGACGTCAATTTCGAAATCTTCATTTACAATTACGGCTTTTAGATGCCTTCTGCGACGCGTAGAGCCAGCCTTTCGGAACCTTGCATGAGCATTCTCAATCGTTGAAGGGGTCGGAAGCGGATGGCCCGGGGGACGAGAAGCATTCAGCCGTGCGGCCAAACGGGAGTTGCCGTTCATTCCAGAGGACGCTAAGACCATGTCAACTTCTTCTGTCACTGAGTATCTTACGTTCAATGGGGAAGCCATATCGCAGCGCTGCGCTTTGTTACGCTGAAGGTAGAGCAGCTGAGTTTAGAAGTGCAGAGTCCGTAGCACGCTAGCAGCATCGAAACATGACGTGAATCTATGAAGCTGTCCTTGCACTAAGACGACTACGGATCGACAATCACTAGAAAATGTCGGAAGCATAAATAAAGTTATGTGCCACAGTCATGAGTGAATGTAAGTTTCATATTCCAAGAAATGCATGGCTCTTCGATTATTTGTCGTGGCTTGAGGGTGTTCTACGTTTTCAAATAAAAAAAAAACATTTGTCATCAATACCGCGCCGCAAAGCAAAGCAACTTGTCATAGCCGCTAGCATGGCTTCTCACTTATGCCGGCTAGCTGCGGAACGCCGACCGTAATCAGCTACGGCAGGCTGTCACATAAAATCGTGACGCAAATATTCTCATCGACACGTACCCTCTTCGGTGCGGGTTCTACTTACGGCGGGCTTCGTGTGTTTGCTTCCAGTTCCGGCTGTTTTTCAAACTGGTTTCCACAGCAAATTTTCGGGACGTATATCTCAAACCACGCGCTTGATCCAGAATTAAAAAAAAAAAAAATGGTAATAGCCTCAAAGTTTAAAGAACGCTACTTTCACAATACAAACGTGTGTCCTAAAACTGGTAACTATAAAGTAAATTAGTATTTTTTGTTAATTGTTTTTGTCTGCATTTTTTGTGAAACATTCTGTCCCTTTGGCAGTGTAACTCATCTGCATAAACCGTATTTTTGTAGCTTTCTCAACCTCCTCTTAAAAAATGCGTAAAAGATAAAAAAAACACCATTATACTGCATATTAGAAGCATTTTATCAATAGAGAGTTTTAGTAATACGTATAGGGGCAAACGCAAACCCCCTACGTTAGCGTTAACGTTGCGTAGACGGAGCGTCACGGAGCGCGTCGAATACGCACTTTTAGTACAGCGGGAGAAGAACGCATTCGTAAAGACTTGTAGCGCCATCTAGATGTGCTCCTGTAAACTGCTTCAAACAATCCAAGGCGGGTATTCGGTCAAGCCAATCCAAAGCCCCGATTCTCCTCGCCTTGTTACGGAGGTGCGTGTTTTCGTGTGCCTGTTGTCTACGTGTTTAGTCTTTTTTTTTGGTACCAACCGCACGGTAAACACCTTTTTGGGTTCGACGGCGTCGCCAACGTTCTTGGCTATCGACACCCATCTTTGTGGGTGCTCGAAAGGGTTCGTCGCGTTGACTTCTTTGAAGAGGCTGATGTCATCTTCAATGATAAAGCGAACCCGTACAATGCGCGTAGCACTTCCGCTGGTTTGGCTCACCGCCGCCATTTTTCACACTGGACTAGTCTCGCGCTCTCCCGTGCGCGACGCGAGCAACGAGACGGCACGCAAGGGACCGCTACGTACGTTCGCAAAAATCGATAGCGAGCGTACGTACGCAAGGCTCGCCGCAGTACGTACGTATGGCGCATGCGCAGTGTGGAGGACGCAACGTTAACGTTAACGTATGGGGTCTACGTTTGCTCCTATACGTATTACTAAAACTCTCTAATGTAAACGCACGCGTCAGTTTATTGTTGGGCCTTATGCTTGTCTAACAGATTGTTTTTTGTCGGATGGCGTATAAAGGCATTCTTTCTACTACCTCAACTTAATGGCCCTTCAATTAGCCATATTTTACTCAATTATATGTGGCACAGAGCCTCAAAATTTTTGTTTTTGTTTTATTTGTATATTACGTGCCCACGATAAGGGATTGTCTTGGATCGCTTCAACTTTCTTTTTGTATCTGTCTTTTATACGGTATTCTTTTATATGTGTGTGCATGATGTTTTTTTTTTTGTTTTTTTTTTTGCTTGGTAGGTTTAGATTTGATATATTTTGCTAATCAGTATGATGTCTGCCTTTTTTGTGTTAATATTTTTTAATAAAGGCGCAGTTTAGTTAGTTTGGCACACCGATACACGAGGAGAGTGCAGCTTTTATACATCCGGAATTTATCCCTGTATTATATTGATCTAAAAATTAATATGCGCGTATGTATGTACTGTATGTTATGTCAGCATTGTATCCGTTCCATCTATTACACACATCGTGTTTTTGCATTTGTCGATGTTTTGCACAGCTTTTGGAGCAGCCGAAATGCGCTCGGCCAGCCAAGCTAAGTCTGCCTTGCCCCGCGGATACCGAAGTCGGCGCCTGGCAGAAAGCGCCCAGTCAGATTGACGAGCTCTGTGGAACCGCGAGGCTGCACCTGTCCACGTACAGGGACCTCAAGTTCGCCTACCCGTATCTGCTCGCCGAGATGACACACAGGTGGGAATTGGTCCGTGGGGTACCGTGTTTTGGTGAGTTTATTTTATATTCATCAAATTCATGGGCGTTATATCGGGGCATAAAAGCGGTATCTTTTCATGGGCCGGTTTCTATACCCCGTTTCAAGGCCGACCAGAGCCATTGCCTCGATCTGATGAGATCAAGCGGAACCAACAGCTTGTCTCATGACGGCGCTCGTTGTCTTTGCCAGTTTTCTATTTTGGGCCAAACCAAATATGCGAAGTGTCCCCATGACGTAACGTCACGTCATGATATCGCGGGACGTTGCAGAGAATTTTAAGTGCTACGCTTTTAGACTGCTTTTGGTATTACGACACAGTGCAGCGTGACACTGCGACGTCATCCCAGCCAGAAAAGCTTAAGAGCTGGCCCTGCAAAGGCGGTTCATTTAATTCATGAACCTGTTGCAAATATGTCCTATACTGCGCACATATTTTGTCTTTTTTTTTTTCCTAGTCCCCTTCCTTCTCTGATCACCCCCGCCCCTTTTTTTCTTCTTGTTTGTCCTCAAAAAAAATTCAGGAAGAATCTTTTTTGATCAACTGCAAGCTTGAGCCATATTATACGCCGAAATT